AGCTCAAATTTTCAATATGCATGAAAAACATTTTTGAGCCACGCATGTTAGTGGTCTGTTGAAGAGGGCTGACATATAGAGCACGATACATGTGTTTCGATGTTGCGACCTCGTCAGTCGCGCAGTTATCCTTTCGTCTTTTTTGTCAATCCTGTGTGCGTGCTCCAATCCCCACACTAAGAGTTAGCGACGATGACCATTTTGCACTCTATGTCCAGTGAAATTATCACCAAACACAAAGTGTTATACACTCGATTGCTCTTGGCTAGTATATTTAATATATCATTTCTTATAGTATTGGGCTCTGTAACTCAGCCCATTCAATAGACTAGTCACACGCGTGGCTCAAAATTGTTTATCAAGCATCTCTTATGCTTATTAAATTGCGACTTTTCGTAACCGAGGAACAGGTCAAAGTGTAGTTGCTCAAGGTAATATCGACGTTGATCAATCCTTGGAGATGCACCATGCGTTCGTCTCGAATTCTTAGTTCTGTGCGAGGTGATTGAATACATATTTGGCCTTTACAATGACTCGCGGCGGCCTAGCAATATATGAGGCCAACGCTACCATCTCCCCAGACAAGTTTGGTACCATAATACCGACCCCGAATAGATGGAATGTTGGGTGAGCCTTGAGCGCGGGACTAGCCATCGACCATCAATTGATCGACCAGGTGAGTGTGGCAGAGCACCTCTAACCACTGCGCCGCAGCCGCTCGTCATGTTCAAAGTATTGATAGTTTTTGCAATAATCTAAATTCAGATTTCGCTGTAAAATGTTCCCGGGTTGCGAATAAATTCCAATAGATGATTGTCCTGTAAAAAAATACGATACTTTTTTCGTTAGACGGCACGGGATCAAAAACCATCCCTCGTGGTGAACAACTTTTCATAGAAGTGCTATTAAGCATTCAAAAGTTTGTATCTCTGACTAGGGCCATGTATGGCCGTTTTGTAGTCCTCTTTATAACGCTTTGGCAAAAAGAAAACATTTGTTTACACATGCATTTTTCTCGCAAGACAGAGCTCTTTCTTTGGGCTATTGGTAATCATTCGATAGCGTTAGATTTAAAGATTCCAACATCGTGCTAAATTTCTGGAAAGACCGTTTCTACTCGGTGTAGTAGGAAAAGTAAGTTTGATTTACATATGCGAGCAAGTGTACTTTGGCCAATCAACGGGCTGGAGCTAGGGCGGCAGGGGAGGAGGGACAGGAGGTTTGCGCGATCACCGATCGATGGCGCCCAAGTCAAATGCAACTTTTGTCATTTGATTAGGAGTTGTTTCTCCGCTTTGCAAAAAATTCCAGATCAAACGTCTGACCCTGATAGTGAAAGATTTTTCTTACATGTTCATGTGCTTGTCGTACTTCCAGCGAAGTAATATTTATATTGCGCAGCTTATTTGAGACATAGTTTTATTTTGAACTTTACAGCGTACAAAAGGATCTTTTCGAAAAACGCCCACGCACGACGCGAACCGGAGAGAAAAGCTTTCGAATGATTATCAACACTCTTATGAAGCCTGATTTTCTTCCTTAAGCTAAACACGAGGTGTTGCATTGATTTTTTATTTTGACAGCTGACGTTTCGGCACTTGGCCTTCTTCAGAGCTGAAAGGTCAAAATGTCCGCAATCCAATCAGCAAACACCTCCATTGCTCCTTTAGAAAAAAATTATTGGACCTAGATTTCAACCGCATCAAGCACAAAATCAACTTTGAAAATAGTCATCGCTTTTTATATGTGTTCCTTCATAGGCTGTTTAGTGCACCTAACCCATCAAAACAGCAGTCTTATATACTGACTCATATCACGAGTGATAACGAAGCATTCCTCCTTGTGGTTTATATTGAATTGGTGGTGTTAATCCAAAGTGCTTCCAGAATTTTTCGCGCTGATGTCTTTTGTTCCTGCGTCAGGGTGGTGACTTCGATCTCAAAATCAACTCCGTCGTGTTTCTGTTCTCTACGCGTCCCTAGCGGGGTGTTGCGTCTATTAAGACTTTTATGAAGAAATCTGCCTAATGAAATGGATCAGTTTTTGATCAAGTGCCGTCTAACGGAAAAACCAAAATTGCAGATACTTAAAAGAATGTAGACCTAAGCTTGTGCTATATAAGTCGGTGAAGTCCTCAACTGCCCCACTTCTTTATCAACCGAGAAACTATCGACAGAAAAATGAGCTTAATCGCAAATGTGGTAGTAAAATTATGTAGAGCGATATACCCATGCAGGTTCTTAGAAAAGTGCATAGCTCTTTCGAAAATGTCCGGATATCGATAGCCTAGTCAGTTAGGTGTTCAGTACATGACCTAATCAAAAACATTAGCGAATACGGCTGTTCGTCAATGAAACCATAGCAACCGCTTTTGTGTGTGTATGCACACCTGCCTCCACAGCTTCGATATATGACAGTGTAGACGTGCTAAGCCTGTTGTAGCCCCATATTGTCTCTATTGCTTTACATCATTAGAAGTAGTTCACCTTCCACACACCCTCTTTTGTTCTCCTTCTTTTGTTTTCAATTCTTTTTATGTACAGAACTTCACAATTGCATCTGTAACTGCATTTTACCACTGTTTTTCAGTCTTTTAAGGACAGCGTACACTCTAATATATCGGCATATTTAGGTCAACTCATGATTTCAAGAATCTGATGTTTACATGACATGTTCTGAGCCTTCTGTGAGTTCTGGTAAGGCACCTATACACCTGCTGGACGGGCTCGTTTCGCCTTTGCAGGCTCATCAGCAGCACAACGCCTTTTGGTTCAGCCGATCCCTTGGCGACACACCTCTACTTGTAAGGAAATCGACGCCAACTAACAAATCGCCGCAAGTCGGGTGATAAATCCTCGACACTGCAGTGAACAACCTTCGAGCTCGTAGCTGTTAATATGAATTATACTTCTTCGTTCTGCTGCTTTTATAGACCTCGCTCAAAAACGATAATAATCCGACAATTTGTGAGGTCTGGTAGCATACAGCACTTTTACAGTGCTAGACGAGCCCGTAGAAGGTTCTGAACTTTCTATGCGATTATCAGATTATTATCGTTTTTGAACGGCTTCTATAAAAACAGTGGAATGAAGAGTTATGATTTTTAGTCTATACAGATATTTCACCGTTCTAGGAAGAGAATCTAATCTAGAAGCAATGGTCTGAGACTTTTTTTTTGCAAAAAAAGGTTAAAGTGTTAAGATTTGGATTGAAACATTAGTATGGGGCTTTAAAATGTGTCATTAGCAATTTTGAACATTTGTAGTAAAATTTATCTAAATGTAGTGCAAATATAATGATTTTTTATGCCACTGAATTGTACAACAAGAATTCGGAATTCCATTAGAGTCCACTATGCCACGAACGCTGATTTTTTCGCGATCAGTTCAATTCAACGTCACCTTCCGACATTCGCAATGAAAAGTTAGCACACCAAAACTTTCCGACGTTTTTTTTCCTTCCTCATTCTCTCTTTTTCGGGTTATTAATCACTGAATTTTTTTTTCTGGACTATAAATGAAGAGAACTCAATATGAGAATTATTTATCCAGACATAATTTCGAACAGCCATGTCAGATCGTCACATATGGAGAGATTGACTAATAGCAGGGTACGCTCCCGGTACAAGACCAGATATCGTTCTGAAACTTGTAAGGAATCAGAATTCTCTTCGATTCATAGCGCCGATGAGCGCCTCTGATGGAGCTCTCAGAAATCTCAGTGTGGAAAATGTTGACATAGCAAGGGAAATGATGTTCAATAGCATTTGAGAAAAAATTATCGAAAGAGAACGTGAGATCCTCAGCTCACAACTGAACCTGCAATGCGACCACCTCTATGGGTGACGGTTTCAAGACAGCGATACTAATTGATTCAGTGGGGTTTTCGCGACATACAAGCGTTGTTCATCTTAGTATCTAAGGAATTTAGAAGGCCCATATTGTGCTTACCCACTAGGAAAACGATCGTCTTCACCTTTTTTGGCAGAACACTTATATCGGCGCGAGTCGTTGAGTTTGATGGGGTCTAGAGATTTCCTGAAACGCATAGCATTCAACAATCGTCACCTTTAAAGTAAAATCAATGTTTCTTTTTTTTGAGTAAGAAATAATAGACATGCCTAACAGTATAATTTTCACTTATCAGAATGGATAAGATTTCGATTCTCGAGGGGTAGTTCCTTAGTGCTATACCATGAAGTTGCACCTCCGTTGAGGCTCGTCACTTAGCCACTGGGGACTCAGATAACGAGATGTCTCGAGATTCTCTGAGGATCTCAGTGCTTCTTGACACCAATTTGTGAGTCATAAAGCTAATGAGTATCGCGTATTGGCTCGCCTGCTTATTGATAATCTTTATAAACATTTTAAAACTAACACACCAGTTAACCGAATGAAATTAGTGGTTAATTATAAATATCCAGCATATATTTGTTAAATATATCCATTTTTTTATACATTTAGTGGAACTGAGCTGGAAACAAAATGGTCATCAATACCTCTAGCGTGTCGGCATTGTAGGGTAATAATCAGTGTGAAAATGGAAGAATAGAAATGCTCAGTTATTTTCTCGATTACACAGCCACAAATGGGAACCGTTGCACAGCAACCGTGGAAGTAAGTGATCACGTATACCGACATTCCTAAAAGATATTAAATACCATTTATCGTTTCCCATTAGTGTTAAATGACGCGTTATGCAAGTGCTTTGTTAACAATTGCGAAATCAATTCAAACAAATCAATAAGCAAAAAGAATTTTATCGGTCCCAGGCCGGATTTCTTCTCAAAGTTGAATTGCAACTGGGATCTTATTTCATAGCCAGTATTATTATCATTATCATTATTTAATCTTAAGAGAACTGAGTGGTGAGCAGTTAGAATAGCTATCAGCTCAACTGGGTTTATAAAGCGAAATCGCATATCCGATCAAACCTGTTAAAGGTTGGTGACTGATAGCTAACACTGAGATGTTGAAGAATGAAGTGGTCGGGCAAATGTGTCCTCAGTGGTGTCAGTGGTAGAGCACGCGTCCCCGGATAGGATGAAACGTGGGTTCGATTCCCGCCTGAGGTCGTGTTTTTGCTCACCACTCAGTTCTCTTAGGAATATATAAATGATCATAACTCTGCGAAATTTGCAGTGAAATAATAGAAATTTCGAATGTTATCATTATTACTATTATTCAGATGGAGTTATTTTATTTAATCGCATCTAGCGGTGGTAAGATTTTTTAGATATGTCCAGTGATGTAGAGTGATATCTAACTCGTTGCATTACTGGCGCCCATTTTGCACACCACTCTTTTTACTATAATTACTGTTGTTATTACTATTCTTCCTATTATTACAGATTACTATTAACTTACGAAACTGAATCACTTTGATTAATAGTTTTATCATTATTTTTTGTTCAACAATATGATCATATTTATGCATGCTTTGACAAAACGGGCGCACACTGATCCGAGCCTCTTGACACGCTTTTTAGACATTTTAATGATCCGTCTTCACAGCGTTTCTTTTTCATTGAGCAGATCCCAGTCATTCTAGCGTCCAATTCATTTTTTCTTTCTGAACGTCATAGAATATTAGTTGAGGAGGTCCTTGCAATCCCGAGGATAGCTTGGCTGTGGCGATCCATGGGGTGTTGGTGTGGACTGCCGGAGAGTGTTGCAGCAGGATTTGGCCCGCGCTCGCCGTGACGAGCAGCACAACCACTCGGCCGCGGGCGCCTCGTGAATCGCTTGACGTTTGCATAAAGAAAAAAGTCTCGTGAAGAAGCAGTATACTACTCAAAGTTGCAAAAATGCAAGTTTTGCCGAAAAAACCACTAAATTTTGTGAAAATCTTAATGTATTAAAGTAATTAAGGTGTATGAGATGCTCTATTCCCATTGTTATTTGAAATGTTGACGCTATAGAATGAAGGCTTGGCATAGCATAATGTGAAAATGACGGCGATTGTGGAAGATCTTATATGTTCGTTTGAAAATTTCTGTGTCTCGTGTACTTACGGGCCATTCCAGTGATAGCTCATCGTGCAGCTAGACAAGATCTCCTTCCACAGAAATCTCATAATCTCCCACTATAACGTTTTAAGTTTGTTGCCATAGGCTTGTCTGATAATAGTGTATCGCTGGAAGAATTATTGCTTTCCGACTAGTAATTCTTTGGGAAGGTAATAACCTCTGTCTCTTCTAGTTTACTTTTAGCTATGTCTCTCAATGAAAACGGGCAGTTTTATTTATTTTGATAGAAAGGATAGACCCCGGACAGCACGATGAGGCTATTCCAAATTGGCATGGTCCGGAACTTAACGATGCAAGAAAATAGGTTCTTTCTGATCAAGAGGGAACAAATGAAAAATTGATCTCATTCGCTGGAGAAGTACTTTTCATAGGTGCAGACCCACTTCGTCGGTTTTGGAAAACACCGCTTTATAACGCTGTGATATTCAGAATAAAATCACTCTACATGAATCCACGTGTTTCTTCTCTTATCTCGCTGAACCTAACTGATTCTCCAGAGTGCTACTACTCAACCTATAGTGCAAGCTTCAAAGAACTCAAGAATGTGTTTGCTTTTTGAGGAGCTCTTTTGATCTTCTGATATCCTCTGGCCTTTTGATTTGTGCTTTGAACCTCGCCGGACTGAGCTCTTTCTTTAGACTATTAGTAAATATCTGATAGCATAATGTTTTCTCATTCTGGCGATGTGCTTATTTTCTCGAAATACGGTTTAGTAGGGAAAACAAGATCGAGTTTCACATTTTTGGTAAAGTTGTTGACAACTTGTTCGACAAGCGAGAGCCGTGGCAGAGGGCATGGCAAGAGCGAGGAGGCGGAGCGATCGGTACGTTGTTATTCAACTGAGAATTTTTTCCTCCGTTTATAAAAAAAAAACTCCGGATGAAACTATTGACTAATATAATACGGAAATTTCTCTATACATTGATATACTTTTTGGCTTCTAACGATTTAGACGCGTGATAAAAATGAAGGCGAAAGGCGAGTGAGATGCATAATTTGATCTGGATGCTACGGCGTTATATAAAGGTATTTTGAGAAACCGGCATGTCGGACTGTTGCCTCAAGTCTCAGCTTTCGATCGGTCATTAACGCTCTTATGAAAACTTCTTCTCCACCGAATGAAATCGGTTTTTCACTTGTTCCCTCCTAATGGAAAAGAATCGCAAAATGTTTTATGCGGAAGCATTGGTCTGTGTGAGCGAATTTTCTGTTAAAGTGCGTGTCATCGGCACATCAACACACTCATTGATGGGGCATATTAGCAACGATTGTTTGTTTGCAGTCCATTCGTGGCCTCTTTGCCCTAATCTCCACTTTCGTTTTGTTTATGCTCTTCTCCACTAAAACTGTTTAGGTAAGATGAATTTTAGCAACAGTTCACTAGTCTAATAAGTAATCTAGAGCATCGTTGAGATTCACTCCATTTATTAGCACGGAACATTCATTCTAGAGAGTTTCAATGTTTTGTTCAGCAATCTCATGGTTCCAAACATCTATATACAGAATACCATCTATAACTACCCTGATACCAATAGAGTATTGCTGCCGCCCTACCAATACCATTGCTCAAGAAATGAGAGTTACGACGATCATGGTGAACCAAAGTATCAATTTCACTACATCTTCCTTGGATACTTGGATACTTGGACGGTTCGTCTTCTCGAATTGTGGAGGCCCCAATACATGAAAATGTGCTGATTTAACTGTTTTGTTCCCCGAAGTCCCGAGTAAGCCTAGCCGGGACTTTCTCAGGTAGTCACGTCATTAGACCAGTCGCCGTCCCTTTTGGATCAATGAGGGATTACCACCTTGCGACTAGTAGCTACCAAGACGGCAGTCATTCCTAGTACGACTTCGGACTTCAGTAAACATTATGAATCTTATACAATCAGTGAATTGCGGGCAAACGGAGATTATTGGCCTAACGCTTCTTTGTGACTATGGAAGTTTGCGGAATCCAGCCAAGTATAATATTTTTAGCATCCTCAATTTTTTAATACTTCATTGTCTCAAAATAAGAATGTACCTGCTTACACAAATACTCTGCTAACCAGTTTTTTCAAAAATCGTGTGGCCATCAGCAAAGTTAATTTTGTCGCTGGTGTGTTGTAGATTGGGTAGTTTTTTTTCTGTGGTGTCCCTACAGAAACTATATAAGGGCGTTCTGGGTCTTTGCCCACTCCTAATAATAACTCATTTGGTATATCCCCTCCTTCCTACATATAGACTGCGATTCCTGGTACTGGTTTACTGCTGAGCTTTTGAATGGAATTATTAAGCTGCCTCTTAGCTCAATTGACCCTTCCGGTGAATGAATTCTACTATACATGGCAAATTAATTCCTAGCAACACCCCCGGTTCGTCATCATGACGCCGTAAACAATAGAATGAGCGCTAATCCCACTATTACTACTACTTTGACGAGCTAAAACGATCAGAATGCTACTATATTTTGTTTAGCTTTATTATGGAATTTTGTCGGTTATTCTTTGTTTTATGGCAGCTGTGTTTTATTAGGGCATTCATATTGGAAATTCATTAAAAGAATTGACATTCTATCAGATTTTTCATGTCCTGTGATGATTGAATTCCTTCCTCATATCGATAGCCTCATCAAAGAATAACTACAGTATCACAATAACCACAATTTTTTGTTATTTAGGAATATTTGCTTCTATGAATTAATTTGCTTTTATTATGAGTAGTCCTACTAATCCATTTATAAGAAGATACACATGAAACTCATGAAATGCCTCGGACTGTTTCCATAAACGTTTATAACTCATACATCGTCGACTATTCTAGTGCTTCTTATCATTAGATCTGCATATTAGTCAGTAAGTAGATATGCGTAATGTCATTGTGCTTAGCACGATGGTCCGGAGAAGTCCCAAGCGCTAATTACTGACGACATGTGTGCCATTAGTGTGGTGTTATTTATAGCGCTCATTGAACTATAGGTCGTACAGATGACTGATATTTTCCCGTTAGAAACTACTGAATACGAATTTCCCATCACTATGACATTATCGACCAGCAGGTGGATCGATATCGTAAATACTTGGTAGTGTTCGTCCAAATCTCAACCAATTCCCCCCTCGACACAAAGTGTGTCAACCAACACCGATTGCATGGGTGGTATCGGGCACAGGTTATTTAGTAGTAGTCATAGCGCAAGATCACCATCACTTTTATATTGTTCTTTTGCTATCATTAGCCTGAAATACTCTCATCATGTCATATTTACTGGTGCTTCCTTTCTGCTGTGCTGATGATCGTATGGTTCATTGATTACCTCAGTTGGCTATGATATGTTTCTTTCTGCATAATTACCCTGATTGATACCACTTATCAACTCCTCTTATGCTCAAATTCCCCCATTTCAGTGTGAGATTATCGGTCCCCCTCATCAGCTGCCATTTTCGACGACGATAAACATCGCGTGGGAAACTGGTTCTTTAGGCTAAGGGAACATTAATTTTTATGTACGCATATGTAAGGACGTTTCAATCATTACAATATATAATTTTCAGATCAATATATTTGTGTAACACCGTCTAATTAGTTACTTTTTATTCTTAATTCAAAAAAGCTCAGATGCATTTACCGTACAGATTCTTTAATTTACTTTCAGCTGTTTCGTTTACTTTTTTCTTCGCGACCATGAATCCCATTTTTTGCGTCCCTGACCCCCAGCGTATTGCGTCTAACAATGGAGCGCTTTGCGTCCAACAATGGCGTCTAGTCCCAGCGTGCATCGTTCGAAACAAAATGCTGTGGTTAGAGGCCATTGATAAACGCAACACTCTGGGACGCAGAGGGTTGGGTCCGTGGTCCCGAAAGGGTCAGAGTATGCAACTATATATTTAAGAAAGTTGAGTGATGTGCAAACTCTGTACCTCAAACGGTAATTAAAACCGACGTTTCTTCCCTTACACTAAGGCTACCACACGCCCTCAGTCTGGGTGAAACACAGATTCAACTTCTATCTGTGGTTAAAGTCTTGCAAATCACTCTTCAATCTTTAGTCAACACAGAAGAGCAGA